CCGACACCCGAGCCTGTGTTGAGTGTGAGTGCTTATATATTACTTCGCATGCAAGGAAGGTGTTGGGTGTTGTTGTCCAGATGGTAGAGTGTTAGTTTGTGGCTTTTATTTTGAAGGTATGGGTTTGATTCCCACTAAGGGTAAATCTTGTTTTTTTTTTTTTTTTGCACAATGCCAGTAAATCAGGGAAAAAAATATCCAGCAGAATCCGAACCTATGCCTTCATATAGCCCAGCACATGCTCGGAACACAAAAAAAAGGATGTACACAGTGGGATTCAAACCCATACCTTCAAAACAAAAGCCCCTGACTAACGCTCTACCATCTGGACAACAACACCTAGCACTTTTCTTGCATGCGAAGTAATATATAAGCACTCACACTCAACACAGGCTCGGGTGTCGGTTTCATAACAAAGCAATTCCCCAGATTTGTTTTCTCAGACTTTGGCAAATGCTTAAGCGTGTTGCCACTCCCAGAATGGAGTAGGTCATCGGACTTGGGTTTATTCCCGTCTAACATGTGATCTTTTGTATTGAACGCAGAACGTGACTTCTACCTTTGTAAGCAGCACATGACAAATGACATGTCGCAGTCTGCAAAGTACGCATGTGCAGCCAGCACCTCGCAGTTTCAGCAATTTTTTTCAGTAACTCACCTCATATGTCTTGCCCAAATAGCTTGTGCCTTCCACTGATGAAGTAAAAGGCCCAAGTGCATTACAAATGCTCGGGAGCTGCCCATGGTTAACACCTGAATGAACGTAGTGCAACTCGACCCTGATTCTTCCAAGTTCCTTACTAGACATTTCGGCAAAGGGTGGTAGTGAATTCCCTGTGGGGAAGTGGTCGAGCACATTTTCTGATGATCTGGGGGTGGGAGAAGAACAGAAAACGTTGGCACTGTGGAACTCAGGGTGAGTTGCGATGCAGTCTGAGAATGGAAAATGTGAGTTGCATGGTTGAATATCAAACATTAATGTGGGAAATATCAGCAGACCGTCGAAGTGTTCATCAGTGTTAATGACTGTGCCGACAAGTTGCAAGGCCCCTAGGCATGCACACATCATGAGTGCTGATCCCACTGGCAAGAACTCTGAGTCAACAAAGTCTGAAGGCGCAAAGGGCTACACCCAGCAGCTGGGACTGGTGTAATTGCACATGTCGATGGGAGCCTTTGCAGTTTTGTCACCGTGCTGAGATTATTCAGATGGTTGTGGACAATGTTAATCACTTCCACAAACAGATGTCTAGCGAGAGTCCAGTCCCTTGGCCTGGGTCAATGTGACAATGGATGCTTACAGACAATGTGAAGGAGGTGTTCCAGTCGTGAATGTGCCCATACATTGCGAGGTTTTCAGAGTAACAACACAAAGAGAAAGGTTGGGTGGCGATCATGCCTCAAAGCGCTCCCACCTCCCAAAGCAAGTGTGTGTGGCCTGGGTACCTTGCCTTGGCAACCTTTGTGCCAGGCAACCTTCAGCCCTGACCGCAAGTGGCATTGGGCTGCAGTTTCCAACAGCGAAGACATGCAAGAAGATCACCAGGGGTACCAACTCCTGACAGATTAATTGCTCAACTTATGACATCCCAAATTGACAGAAGTTGTGGGAAGGGTGAGCCTACGAGCCAGAGCGTTCCCATGCTTGCATTGGTACTGATCCGAGTTTCATGAATCGTGTGCGTGAGAATATAATTTGTATGTGTTGTAATGTAGGGATTCCTGATAAGGCAATCCGCTTACTTCAGTGGTTATACTCACGAGGCCAGAGGTAAGCTAGGAAACTTTCTGATGATTTTGCTCAACACATGTCTGTGTGTATTTATACATACATGAAATGCATTACAATGATGATTGTTATAAAAATGGGGCCTAATTGGCCCGTTTCTATAGCGTTTGGGTGCAGGAGAGGGCCATGACATCGAAAGAGTGTTACAGTTAATGTAACAGAAGTTATAACAGTGGTGTTTACAATAACATGGACAGGAGTGTTTTTGGGTAGTAATTGATTGTTATGGAAATGGGAATTTCCCATTTTAGACTCTTATGGGTTCTGTGTCACATGATTTGTATAGTAATTAAGTTTAACCAATCAACAATTACCAAAAAACCCGCTGTGCTAACATCTGTTAAACCTCATGTTACAACATCTGTGAAACCACTTGTAAAACCTAATGAACCACCTCACCTCCACTTTCCACTTTCCTGTGCCAAGAATGGACGAAAATGGGCGCCTCCGGCCCCATTTTTGTAACATTGATGGTTAGGTTGTTATTATTTACATGTCATGTGATATTATAGCACACAGGGCCCATAAGAGGCTAGAAATGGGGAATTCCCATTTCCATAACAATGATATATGTAAAATAAACTGCTGCACAAGCGTGCATATGCAAGCACAGACTAAATGGGAATTTTCTAGCGATTTCCCATCCAGAATACCCCGGAAGGTTCCGATGACTTGTGATCTCAACAGTATGCTTCAAGGAGACACATTGCCAACCCAGACTCATATGAGGAGCTCCGTGGATGCCCAAAATCTAATAACACCCCTTAGTAGTATGGACAAAGGTCATGTGCAGCACCTGAAAAATCGAAAATGAGGAAAGTATGTTTTAAAACTGTCAGGGACAGCTCTGAAAGCGGTGAAGTCCTGGCACAAGGGACTCGGTGGGACAAGTGTCAGCTATGCGTAGTGGCGGTCCTGTCACGGAATGAGCATCCCTGACCACTTGGTCTGAAGTGGGAAGTTGTGTTATCATTAAAGGGGAGGAAGCTACAGTACTTACCTGAAGTGGGAAGTTGAGAAGAAGGCTGCTTCTTCTGTTCCCACCCCAGGTGTCATATCCCGGAATCCCGACCCCACGCTCTCCCACCTCATCACACCTTCCTAACAACTTCATTATCCCCTACACCATAACTCCCCACCCCCCAAGTCACCTTCCCTCCTAACTGTCTCAGCTCTGGCCTGGTTGCAGCACACCTTACCTTGGCCACTCCCATCCCGGAAGCTCGGTCCTGAGTCAGAACATTCAGAGACTCCAGATTTGCTCCGACCTCCCGATGGATTTCCGACATCCCATGACATACCTCTAAACCATTCCCCCTCCCATTTCATTTATTGGAGTCACCCAACATCCTTCGGATACCTTCGGAGCTACCTGCATCCTCCGGTGATCCCACTCACATCATCACAAATTAGTCACCTTCCATTTATAGTACGACTGTCGTCTTCTTTCCATTCAGTTGGCTAACTTCCTCTTACCCATTTCTCGTTCCCATTCATCCTCTGGCCTTTTACTCTGCCCTTCTTGGCCTGACACCTCAGTTCCCCATTAAGGATATCGTTTGGGACCTTTCGGTACCTTTTGGTATCATTTGGCACCTTTCGGTGTTCTCCATTATCACTCGGACTTCGACTAAAGTCCTTCCCATTCCTCCATATATAAATACTTGTAGATTAGAACCTGTAGTTTCCCCAGTTCTAATCTCGACTAAAAGTTACCCCAAGTCCCTCTATGAGTGAATCCCGACCCCTTCCTACAAGATACCTCAGACACATGAAATATAAGGACTGTCAGGGCACAGCCTAACTGGCTACCCTGACTCCCTATGCCGGAAGGGAGTTGCCGTAAGACGATCTGGAGTGATCTGAAGAATGCAGGTAATTTCGCTTAGCTCTTGCTTAGCATCCCGCTTCTATCTTCTGTCCACATGTCACCCCTTTCCCACATCTCGCTTATGATTATCCGAATGAATATCTATCTCTTTCATGTCGTCATTCTATCGGTTAGCTCTTATCTCATTGTAGCTGCACTCTAGTGGGTAGCGGTACCCATGTATATAACCCCTATCTCCGCTGAGGGTGGCACCTCAGTGTTAACAATGACTAGGATTCTTGGGAACACCTTTATCATCATGAACTGACATGCAGTCCCTGACAAGGACTAACTGAGACGTAATGGAGGCACAGCACTCCCTCCAAGTCGCTGAGGCCACATCCTTCTTAGAGCCTCTTGTACCACCCAGCAGACCCGGGCTTCCAGGAGAAGCTTTGGTCCACTACCGGAGCTCTCAGATCCCCTCTAGTTGAGCCCTGCCTGCATCTGGACTCATGCACTTTCCCCTACGTTCAGGGTTTTTGACACCAGGTGCTATTATATACATGCAGTTAGGGTCATGTGGGGGGAGCCACATCATCTCCGCACACAGCCGCACCTCTCTGGGTGTCTCCATGGGAGATCCCTGAGGTGTGCCGCTCTGTAGGCAGGAATGCGCACGGCGAGTGCGGTGATCAGGGAGGCAGCATTAGGTGTGTAGTGATGCATAGAGAAAAGGGAAGTTGACCATGGAATAGAAATAGAGAGAAAGAAGAAAAGGGAAAAGGAGGAATGGGGAGTGATAGCAGGGGAAGCGGAGTAGGGCAGGGCAGCATGGGATGTGGTGCAGGGTCAGGTGGGGTATGCCCTGACAAAAACCAACTAGAGAAAGATCGTGTATATCAAATTAAATATCAAAAATTGTCATAAGTTAAGACATGGAGGTGGTGTAATCTGGATTGCTTGAGACACTTTTTTTACCATCATAAGCAACAATAGTAGTGGGGCATGATGCTTATTGGTGTTATGTAAGATAGACGACTTTCATACCTCGGTACTATCCAGATGCAAACCGTTGCAAAATTTGCGTTGCGGCTCATTTCTGCCACAACACTTTAGAGGCTAATGTGGCACCAGGAAGCTGTACAACTAGTGTAGTTTTGTAGCTCCCTGGTTTCAGAATCTTAATACTCTTTGTTATTTCCAAATAAATCCCAAAATACTTTATGATGTTGGAATCAACATCTTTTTTTAACACTGACCACAATCCAATTAAAAAAAAAATCGATTTGAAGTTTGACGCACATGGATAGAGTAAAATTGAATTGCGGCTCTTGCTGAATACAGAAAAGGAAACCATTCCTATATACCCTTTTCCCTCCCAAGCGCCTGCACTCATTCATGCCAGTACACAGAAAGCGCCGCCTTGCAAATAACCTCGGAGACTACTCCAAGAAGGTATAGTGCTACCTAGTCAAGGGGACATCTATTCAGAATTTAAAAAAATTTGGGCACAGAAAAAACTGCAGAACAGCACACCTGAGTCTCAGCATCCCATCCTTTCTACCAAGATCCTGCCTGCCTTTCCTGCCAGAAACCAGCCTGATCCCACTGAAGATGACCTCACCACTTCCAGCAGCTCTGAAATTGGTGATTTCGATATTGACCTGGAAAGCGGTAGTTGGAGCGAGTCTGATGTTGAGGATTTGGATGAAAGCTGCAATGGCACCTCTTACTCAAGCCTCCCACTGGCTGCGGGCATATCTAGGGCTGAAGATGTCCTATCAGAACTGATGAATAAATGCGGTGCAATCCCTGGAAACAAAGTCCGATATGCCGGAACAATGATCAACGGCACTCCATCAGAATGTACCCGACGTCGCCATGCAGCCAAACAGAGGGCTATTAAAAGAGAAGTTCAAGAGATGATCAATAAAACCTTGGTTGACCAAAAAAAAAGGACCTTACAAGACTTTTTCCCCCATTTCCGTGCATCCGACTCCAACCCCACCCCCATTCCTGGGCCCTGTGATCCAATCGTTGTCAGTGACTCCGATGTGAGCGGTTCTGTTAGTTCTGATATGAATGATGCATCAGAAGTGACACACACCAGTCCCCCATGTCCAAACTGGCGACATGTTATAGGAATGGACCTAGAATCTTATGGTCCATGACTGAACATTCAAACATTTGGTCCCTCCACCTTTATTTCATTGTCAAACCCCATGCCAAGCTTTCCCACTGGGTTTTGGTGCTGGCTGGGGGATTTGTTGATTTCCAAGGGACTTCCCTTGGCCATTACGACCTTTGTATTAGATAGATACAAGTCATATGACATGTATGGCAATTGCCGAGATGTTTTCTCATTATCGAATACATAACCCACAAACCTTGTACCGTGATTGTAACATCCTCACCATTGTGCCACCACTGTAAACTCAACCTGTAACCCTGGAACCATGTCCACCTCCCTATTCATCCTCTCCATGACAAAACTGCAACGAGGAGGGCATTCCCATGCCCAACCTCCTGCTGCCCGCTCCCACCAGTCCACTGGGTGGTCGAGTGGTTACTCCCATCCAACCAGAAGTTCCCTATCAGGAACTGTAGCCTATCCCACCTCCTCAGGAGAAGGATATGGTCCAGGCAGCTCCAGGATGCCTGGCCACGCACCTGCAGGTCCCACTTCCCACGGTCACCCACTACCGTGCACTGGTCCACCAGCCCGCTTTCCCCAACAACTCCCGCTACCGGTACGCTCCCATGAGCGCCAAGTCACCGATAGCCACCAACTGGGTGACTCCCTTTGGGAGTCCCAGTATCCCTCACTACCGGTACGCTCCATTGAGCGCCAAGTCACTGCTAGCCAAACACTCCCACCACACCCGCTACCGGCATGCTCCCAGGAGTGCCAAGTCCCCGTTAGCAGACAGCCAGGTGGCTCCCTCAAGGAGCCCACATCATACTCGCTACCGGTATGCTCCCAGGAGCGCCAAGTTACCGTTGGCCAACCCACAGGTTGTACTTCCATACACCCATCCTATTCCGCTCTCCCTCCGATGGCTATGCAGCCACCTCTGTTAGTGAGCTGAACGGCTCAGGTTGGGTTCCCCGGAACCCATTCCTGTAACACGACAGGTGGACATGCACAAAACACCCGCAGCAATGGAAACCGACTCACCAAGTCCAATGGTGTCCGCACATGAACACTCAGAACCACAAATGAAAATCCACCACCATCCCCGCACTTTTGTCCCTGCCCCATCTAGAGAGTTGGCAGAAGAGGCTGCAAAAAGAGTTACCGAAATTATATGGGGATCTAGGAATGGTCCTGGTCATAAGCGCTCAGCGTTGGATGACTTAACATGGATGAGACTGGAGAAAATGCTCCAGTTGCTCCGTGTGTACTGTTCTGACCAAGCGGGTTTGACCAAGGACACAGGCTGGATCCATGCTTCAGAGTGGGTAGCAATTGCGTGGGACCGTGGGCGATCATATGCATCAAAGTTGCGTATGTGGTGTCGTGAGTTCATGGAGAAACCAAATGCGATCCCAATGAACCCCTATGGGAAATGGAATGAGTCGATACTTGCAATGGATGAGGATATTAGGCAAGAAATTAAGGCTCACCTCCATAGTCTCGGCCCATACATCTCAGCAACGGATGTTGTTCAATTCCTGAATACTCCAGAGATGCATCAGCGCTTGGGTCGTGATAAACCGATATCTGTCCAGACAGGACAGCGGTGGCTAAAAAGGATGGGGTACTGCTGGCAGAGGGAGAAAAAAGGCCAGTACTCTGATGGTCATGAACGAGAAGATGTTGTTTCATATCGGCAGAGTGTGTTTCTGCTGGCAATGGCTGAATATAGAAAGTCAATGAGGAAATGGGACGAAAATGGGGAAGAGGTAACTGAACCCACCACAGGACGTCATACTGTTGTCTGGTTCCATGATGAATCTATCTTCTATGCTCATGACCATCGGAAGGTCCGCTGGGTTCATGACTCTGAGACCGCAAAGCCCTATGCCAAGGGTGAGGGTGCATCTGTCATGGTTGCCGATTTTGTCTCAGCTGACTACAGCTGGCTCAAAGGTGGTGATCATGCAGCCTGGGTTCTGCTTAGGCCGGGCAGTAATAGGGACGGATATTTTGCAAGTGATGATGTAATTGAACAAGCATCAAACGCAATGGAGATCCTGAAGGAGCATTACCCAAATGATGATCACATCTTGGTTTTTGACAATGCACGCACCCACTCCAAACGTGCCGAGGACGCATTGTCAGCACTCAAGATGCCAAAGGGGCCTAAACCATGGGGAGTCACTGTGAATGCACGGGACGAGAGTGGCACAATAATATACAAGCCCAATGGGAAACTGTCATATCCAGGCATACCCGATCCTGCCCCGACTTCCGGACCTCCTCCTTCCCCACCTCCGGAATCCTACCCTACCGCTGTCCGTTCCGATAGTCACCTTCGGTCCTGGCACCACACCATCCTTCACCTCCCATGCCACCTCCACTCCTCCGTCACTCTCCTGTTCTATCTCCATCTGTTCCAATAACCACCTCGGACCGAACACCACCCCTCTCGCCACCCTCCTCATACTCCTCCGCTCCCTCCTCACAACACCTCCACCCTTCCGTCATCCTCCTACTCTTCTCCCGTCCGCTCCGATACCCACCTTCGGACCTGACACCTCTCCTCTCTTCCTTCCCCTCTCTTCCCTCTGGTCCACTTCTGCTGACCTCCCACCAAGTTACGACCTCCCGCCACTGACCCGTACTTTGTACTCAGGCACTGCTCGTACCTTTGCTCTGAGCCTCTGTCATAGTTCCTACCTCGGACTTTGACTCCACCTCGGTCTTAGTCCATTGCATTGGTGATCTCATACTACGTAAACACCATTGCCAATATTCCTCGGACTTTCAACCCCGCCTCTGTAAGCTCTGCAACCTCCAAGCTTCGCAGATCATCTTCAGCACTTTCGCTGTTTGTAATGTATTTCTCACATTTCCCCCTCATCCCTATTTGGACTGCTGCTTCTTCCCATTTTAGCCAGTTAGTCATCATCCCCACTTCCCCTCATCCTCCTGCCCCTCTGGGCCTCGCCCTCCTTACCTCATTTCGGACGTATCACAGGTTCTGCCTTATGACCTTTGGTACCGCTCCGCTTCTGACATCCCTTTGTTCCCGTTCGGACGCCTTCGTTCCAATTTGGTTCCCCTTCGTTTCCTTGTGCTTTTGCCCCCTCCATTATATATATCGGCGCTTGTACATACTCGTAGCAGGCTCAGTCCGAAATCGACCTGAAATGCCCCCTAGAGACTTCCTGCTCGCCTACTGTGAAATTAAGGACCAAATGGACAAACAGCAATGGCACAGCGCTCTGCTTGAGTCGCTGAGGCCAAGGTCCCTCCACGCTAAGTCTCTGATTCCACTCCGGAGTCGTCTGAATCCACCTGTTCTAACAGAAACCTCAAACCACAACAAAGCATATGGAAAATGCAACTTGGGAAGGTCAAACACAACATCTTTATTATTCCAATGACCATCCCAATTACCCTGGATATTTCAAAGGGATGGCCAAAATCCTAGAAGAACGAGGCTACAATGTCACTGGGCTCCATGCCCAGTGTGACAAGTTCAAATGCCACAATAAGGCAGCACAATGCTGCTGCCAAAACATTCTCCTCCACTCCAAAGATTTCTTGGGCACCAAATCCTTGCTTCAGACTCATTGTGAGGCAGCAGGGTTTGGCATTCTCTTTCTCCCAAAATTCCATTGTGAACTCAATTTTATTGAGCAAGTATGGGGGTACTCAAAGCGTGTTTATTGAGAGTTTCCACCATCTTCAAGGGTTGAAGATGTCAAAATAAATTTACAAAAGGCATTGGAAATTGTGCCAATAACATCAATGCGCAAGTAAGAAATTTTGCGTATCCTATTTTTTAGATAACATTAATTTGACAGGTTTTCAAATCGCTCATTGCGATACATGGATGGATATCAATTTGGCTTCAATGGTCGTGAAGCCACATGGGCAGTCAAGAAATATAAAGGGCATCGTGGACTACCACCTGAAGCAATACATGAAGTTAGTCAGGAATTTTCAACTAATACATAACATGTAGAAAAACATAATACTACTACTAAAATTGACAGTAAATTTCCGTAAGTATCACTGACCGGAAATATTGATCGCTTGTGACCTCACACTGCCACACTCGGCAAATCCCGGCATAGTACTGAGGTATGAAAGTCATCTATCTTACTAAAATTGACAGTAAATTTCCGTAAGTATCACTGACCGGAAATATTGATCGCTCATGACCTCACACTGCCACACTCGGCAAATCCCAGCATAGTACTGAGGTATGAAAGTCGTCTATCTTACAACTGTCAGGGGACAAACCCTGGGTCCCCATGACCCCTCTCTATGACCCACAACCTAAAACAGCCCTGTCCAGGGCACACTCTACTGTGGGTAAGAAAGTGAGAAGAAGGTTAACTTCTCACTTTCCCACAGTGGCCCCAATATGGTGAAAACTTCCGGGGATACCCGGAAGTCACATGAGGGCAGGATCATGTGGTGTGTGGAGCATGCAGCATGGGAAGTGCACACCGGAAGTGTAGTGGGTCCGGGCTAGTCAGGGTGTGTGCCCTGACAACCCCCCAGCAAGCAACTTAAGCCATGTGAAATGAGGGCCAGGAGACAACCAGGGGGGACAGCGCTCCTTTAGAGTCGCTGAGGCCGAAGGCCCTACCCTCAGGCTTGCTCATGGCATTGCAGTCGATAGTGGCCTGCATTGGCGAACCTGCATGACCCTCGGTGCCGACCCCGGACCTGTATCTAACAGTCTTATCCATACAACTCCGGACCTCCACTCCTGATTCCAGACCTCCATCTCCTACTCTGGAATTCCACATCCCTCCTCCTGCTCCTTGTTCTGTTGAGAGTCTACATTACCCCTGGCTCCAACACAATGTCCAACACCACCTCTGGTCTGACTCCGGTTCACTCTGGGTCCAATCCCAACTTCATTAAGATAGGCGACGTGCACAAGTGATTAGCTCATGGAAACATCTGAGCTGATCACATGCAGCCAAAGTTGCTCAGTCTATGCGGAACAAATGGTGGTAACATTGATTTTAATTGTGAATCTGC